ATTTCTCTCTGGATTAAAATGCCAACAGCATGGGGGATGTAGTCCATGATACTAGAACATTTGCTTTACTTCATTTTTTTTTTTAAAAACTTGTTTTTAATAAAACAGAAATTTTGATTTTCCAGTCAAGCACACACAGAATAATTAGCAAATGCTGTGCAAATTGTCCCCCAGCAGAGTGTCATTCATCTTGTTTCCCCTTTCCTGCATCCAGACTGCAACTTGGCTGCATTTTCTTATAGGTTCAGCTAGGATATGCTATGACAATATCCATCTTTGATTATCCTTGGGTGTTCAGAAAGCCATATTAACATAAAAAATGATAGATTAAAGGAAAGACCAGAGAATAAGCAGCAGACAATATAAGTAATGGCAACCATTGTGATGCTGAGAAAGAGATGGATGGTGCATAGTAAGAGTCAATCAATCCTCACGTTGACAATATAGATAGAGGGCCAGGATCCTTCACAGCTGGATTTCAAGGGATAGAAGCATTCAATTTTAATCTCTTTAATATAAGACTACCCATTGCATTTTTTTCCAGTTTTAAATCATGTTGGAAACAAATGCTTTCCCTACACATGGTCATATTCTGATGAACATCTATGCACACATGCAACTAGTTTATCAAAGATCTACCTATAAAAGTCTTCTTCTTTCCAGGTTGCCACATGAGAAAAGCAATCAGAGATTCCAAACATCTTGCCAGGCTACAAGGTCCATTTGACTGTTTGCCTTTCCAAGCCCTTCCCCCTCCCTTGAAAGAAACTAGATTACTCCATCATAAAACTAGAATGCTCTGCTAGTATTTGGAAAGTACAACTTTTTAACTACCCAATTATATTTTGTGAATGTTATTCATTCCATCCCTGCAATCAAAGGAGTTAATATTTGATGTAAAGAAAAAAAGTTTTTGTGGTTTGAATAAAAACCAAATGTTCAGGTTAGATTTGGGAACTGTGTGTGAGCTACAAAAATGGGTTGTAAATACTCTTTTTCCCCAGCAGAAAAGCTAATTACGCTCTTGCAATAATAGAATAGAATATGGGTTTTATTTTTTTATTTGTAAAAACATCCCTTACCAGTATTTCCAGTGAGAAAATATATTCTAAATAAAATGTTTTAAAATAACTCACCCTAAACTCCTTGATTTTAGATCTATAGAAGAAGGGGCAGAGCCTGGGGAGGTAGAATCAAGACAGGAATCAGCCTGGCATCATTAACGTTCCCACAAGCTATCCAAGTCCAGCACCCCCTTGAATTCTACTAACTCTTAAATAGCATCAATTTAGTGCTGTTAGTTGACCTAGAGTCTTCTTTATGGCTTGAACAATAAATCAGTTTCACTGTAATTTAAGACATGATCTTGATTTTTCATTCTGACAAGATCTACCTGACAAAGCCACATCTTCATTAATAATAGCTTATGAAGAAAAGAAAAAAATCCTGCTGTCGTCTACTGAGAGAGTCAAGGGTGAATGGCTATTTGCAGGCATTCAGTTTATGATATTGTGAGATGGCTTCATATGTGGATGCAAGCTTCTAATGGTGCTATTTATCACTATGACAAAGGCTGGAATAGAGGAAAGCTTGAACTGAAGTGAAGTAAAAAACTAGAATTTTGATTATTTCAGCCACTGAGTATGATATTATCTTATAAAGGCAAATTGCATAGGTATGATTTGCACCTTACCAATCAAGTTGATCTTGCTTTAGAAAACATCCCTCTGGGTGTATTATAAAGTATTATGAAATAGTTTACTGATACCTTAAAATAAAGTTTTTGCCTATCCTAGATTACTCTGATGAGCTATTAGGGCTATTTCTGAGATTTCCCCCCTCCAAATGCTTGTTATGACACTTATATTAACCATTGTTATATGCTGCCTTCCAATATCTTAAGGAACATGTTTGTGAGTGTGTACATGTTGTGATTGGAAGGATCGGTCCTGTTAGGAGTTTTGAATCTGATGACTGTTAGATCGTGGATTGATGTCAGAACCAGGAAACGTTAATCTGAAGGGCAAGCCAGTTAATTAGCACGTTGCCTTAATGGGTATAAAAGGACACAGCTGAGCTGGTGCCTTTTGCCAGAAACAAAATGACTATTTTGAATGAGGACATTACTGCAAAGAGATCTCTGTTTGTTTGAATTTTGAAGGCGAGTTCTAACCGTTTCTGCCAGTCGTTATCTTGTTATTTTCCTTCAGTTTGATTTGATTGTGAAACGGCTGCTTTGTGTTTGCTCGTTTGAATCTCCAAGAGGAGACATAACATGTACATATGTACTTACATAAATACATACATATATGGCAGGAGCTGGGGCAAGTAACTGGGAGTTTACCCTGTCACACAGCACTCAGGTCTTGAATTAGCCTGCCAACTGAAAAGGTCAATGTGGATCCATCATGCCCCTATATATTACTTAATCTTCCACCATCAGAAACAGAAACTGTAATTCAAGGTAAAATATAATATCCCAAAAGCAGATCAAATGTGCTGATGTAGATGAGTGGAAATTGGAACAGTAGACTATTCACTCTGTATAAGGCTTTGCAGCTATAGAATACAAACATTGATTATTATATATTCAAGTAGGCCAGAACACTTTTTATGGCTTTATGAGTGATATCAATTTTTTCATATGTGTCAAAGGAATTTGCAATATTTTGCTCTTTTGCCCTAATATATGTGGAAAATCTAAATCCTATATGATGTATTTTTAACCCATTATTTTTCATTTAAATGTTTTATAAAAGTTGATTTTTCATTATAAAATAGTGGCTTATTTTACTGTCTGATTAATTGATTTATTTTTTTTTACCAGTAACCCTGGTTACTGCATTTAAATGTAACTTAGGAGACTGCCTGGAATTAAAAAAGTTAATTCTTTTTTAAATTAAAAAGAATTTACAGCAAAATCTCAACAAGACTTCCAAAAGATACATTCTAACTGAAATATTGCAACAAAAACCCCAGGAAGAGAAAGTCGAAAAAGAAATAAGAAGATATAACTTGGGACTATCTGGATTACTTGATGATTTCTGGATTCTTGGTTTTGAATGACTAAAATCAATTGGGTGGTTGTTTAAAACGTTTTAAAATGGCTTCACTTTTAGAAGAACTGAAAATGGAACTTAAAAAGTACAAAGAAGATACATAAGAAGGGAGAGGTTCTTTTGGCTTCGTATTTCAGTTTTTAGAAATGGAGATTTGGAATTATGAGAAACAACAAGAAATGCCTGCGGAACAAGAAGATTGCGACAAAGAAGAAGCCATCTTTAATGAACAAGTAATCTTAGATGGGGGTGGGAAAGGAAAGGGAGAAAAGAGAATGGAAAGTTTAAGATTGGGAAAAACAACCCTCCCCCCCCCCAAAAAAAAAAATAGAGTGAAAAATAAGTATAAAATCAGAAAGCAACAGAAGAGGGAAATGCAGAAGAGAGAATTAGAAGTAGAGAGACAAGGGGGTAAAAAGGGGAGGGAGAAGATGAGAGGGAAGAAAGAAAGGAAAAGAAGTTATAAAGGACAGAAGCAAAATATAGAGACACGGGGTCTATTTAGAGATAATGGGTGAAAACTTAATGGAAAAAGGGAATATGCAAAGGTACATAAGATAGTATGGTTATATTAGAAGCGGAAATAATTTTAGAAAATGTGAAACAAGTATGATTAAAATGTCTGATAAAATAGCTATCGTAATTCAGTGGAATGCTTGTCAATAAATAAATGTAACAAAAGGTATATTTAATGATTTATATAACATTATGAAGATTATATATTTTAAGGAAGTATGATATTTAATTGAAAAGAAGTGTTAAAGATGTTAAGTTTTTAATGATTATTAATGATAGAACTGAACTGGAATGGAATGAGGGTTTATAATTACATATATTTACAAACTTTCTTTCTTTTTTTTAAAGAATATAGTGTGTATTATAAGAATGTACCAAGCAGAATTCGATTGAAAGTTATGTATTATGTATTATATTGAAGGTCATAAACTTAAGGTATATATTGAAATTTAAATAAGAGTTGACAAAAGTATAAATATAATGATTTGAATTGAGATGAGATAATCAAAATAAAATTGAGAAAATTAAAAGAGGGGAAAAATTATATAGAAAATGTAAAATGGTATAAGATATGGAATAGAATACAAAAAGGAGCATGAAATTGAGTTTTGTGTCTGTATAAAGAAGTTCAACCTAGGACCGTGCTATTTTCAAAAAAGATGTTTTACTTGTATTTTGTATGTGTAAAAACCTAAATAAAACTTTATTTTAAAAAAAAGAAAGAAAATCTGGAGTACAAATGAAAAGTTCTGTGCATTTCTGCTGAAGAAGGAGTAAATAAACAAGTTAGACAACTAAACTTCTCTTCTGTTTGCAGCAAGGTAATTCTAAACATGCCAACCTTTGGGAGACCTGTAGTCCTTTCCTTATGGATGGGCAGCATGCTGTGTGAACCTCTGATAATGTATATTTAGAACGTATTTCACCCTGTCATAGTATTATTTTATTTAAATAAAACATTTATTTTCTTTTTTATAATGATAGCTGCTTTTAAACATTTAAGTCAAAGTTGCTTGGTGAATGGACAACCATAGAAATCAAATAAATAAGTAACAGAGAAATTATGTATATATTATGCTAAATACTCCCATGCCCCTTTTCATCTTATCAGGATATAAAAACAAATGTACTGTATAACTTTACCTCTTCTACTTGCACCACCAATATTTTCTAATTCCGTCTTTTCTTGAAAAGGTAATAAGCTGTGTCTGGCTCGGTCATCTTGTCACATTCAAGAACATCATTAATAACATGGGGGTGGCTACATTAACAATAGCTACCAGGTTACTCTTTAATTCTTTTTCAAATGTACTTGAAGAAGTCAGGATTTGAAATGGATATTACCTTACACAAAATGCGGATTGTTTTCAGTTATGTAAAGAGTCATTTTCAGTCTCTAATCTCTCTTCTGCATATCTTTCACAGCCTTCGGCAAAAGAAAGGAAATTTGCCCCAGAGGCATTGGGCTGGATCATCTAATTTAGTAAAATGCAAGCCATGTCCTCTGACACATGCCAGCTCTGTTTGTGGTTCTGATGGACACACTTACACCACCAAGGTAACATCATTTAATAATGAAAACGTACATGATAGTTCATGCATGAAAGTGCCATGAGAAATTTAAATTTACAGTATATGTATGTAGCTTTTTGTCTTGAACTACTTGAAAAATTTGTTTTTTGAAGGATTGGAGATAAGGAAAACCTTACCGTGCCACTGCTCCTATACCAGACTACTGAGTGAAGTCAGTGTTTCACACTATTTTTCATGTTTCTAGTGGAAACATTAAATTTTGTGGGGAGGAGAGAGGGGAGAGTTTGCAAAACTACCAGATTTGATGCCACAAGAATAATATTGATGCAAAGAAAGAAGAGTTTACTGAATGTCCAAGTTATTTGAATCTTTAACTTAGTCTTGTGCTACATTTCATTATCTTTCTGATGCACCTGAATGTATTTATAGGTATGATACTGTACTGCATTCATACTGACCATATGCACTGGTGTTGGAGATTAAAAATCTTGAAAATATAAATATAATCTGGGAGTGGAGAACATCGCCAACAGTCCTTTGCCATTGCTCCGTCAATCTCTGATAAGTGTATTGCTTGACTGGCATTCCCCCTATCCATTCAGTGGGTTAGAACCTATTAGATCCCAGGCAACAAATGAACTTTAATGTGTTCCATAAGAAAGTTGAGATTTCTTATGTATCTGGTAGGCAGATCAACATAGGTCTTAGTTGTCACTTGGACTGAGTATTTTGCAAAGAGTTGGCTTGAATTTTCTAGACATCCGGTAGATAAAATTCATATTCACTTAGAATTGGACTGTGATTAAGCCAATACATTTGAGGTGATGGACGTTTTATGTGGTTGCCTGGTAACTGTTTGAAAGTGAAACTCCTAGGAAGTGGACATGATCCTCAGGATTGTTAACCCGACTGCCTGTTTGTTTGGTCATTGCCCTCTTGATTTATGAAGTTCTTTTGGGTGGTGTGTAATTGAATCAGAATTACGGAATTGGAAGGCATGTTGGAGTCTTCTCATCCATCACTCTACTCAAGCAGGAAAATGTATACCGTTTCAGTCAAATATCTTCTTTTTTAACCCCCAGTGTTAGAGCACCCTCAACTTCTGGAGGCAGGTCATCCCACTGATTAATTGTTCTGTCAGGATATTTCTCCTTAATTCTAGGTTCTCTCTTTGATTAGTTTTCATCTATTGCTTCTTGTCCTGCCTTCAGATTCCATTCAATAATACCAGTTTTTCAGAAGGATGGCCTAGTTCACTCGTGATATGCTTCTCCTTTAAGAGGTTGTTGCTGGATCCAATAGTTCTGGACAATTTTTATCCACTCTAACCTTCCTTTTCTTAGGAGGTTTGCTAAGAAGACAGTTTTAGAGGGCTCTGAAGGAAGCAGATTATTCAGGCCTGTTTCAGTCTTATTTCAGGTTAGGATATAGTACACAGATAGCATCATGGTTGATAGTTTATGGATGGCCTCTTGCAAAGCCAGGATAGCATGTTACTGTTCTGATAATCCCTGTTCTTTCAGTGGACTTTAATACTATCAGTCATGGAAGCAGGAAAAAGATTGACACGAGGCCCTAATGGGTGATGTGATACAGGGCTTCCTTTTCCTGTTTAATATCTACATGGTCTACATTATTTTTTTTAATGTGGTTGTAAATTTGTTTTTAATATTGTGCACCAGCCAGAGTTGCTGTGGAGTTGAGCAGCTTTACAAATATGATACATAAATAAAAATGAACTTTATAGTGAATGTAAAATTCAATACTAGTATATACTATGTATCTGTTTGGAGTTACATTAGGGTTGCAGTTAGGCATACAACAAATAGGTAAGCAACTAAGGAATTTCATAACTACAAACAGATTGTCCAGTAGATTATTTAAAAACAACAAAATTATTCATGCCTTAGGTATTGATTGAGCAAAAGAAAATCATTTTCTTAGTAATATTTAATTAATGCACTGGTATGTTATTTACAAAGGGAATTTTGGATTTTCTGCTGTATCTAACATTGGATTAATTATTCAATAGGTAATATGTATGATTGTCCTGTTTACAAAGTTTTTCGTTGTACACAGTTCCTTGCGATAATAATTTGGATTCTATAAAAATACAGATTTAAAAGTAAAATGTGTAAGCTCAAGCAACACAGAATGCCTCCATAAACTACTTTCTCCCTATATTTGAGTATCAGCGGTTGTCTAAAAGATTAATTCCATAACATATATCACACTGTAGGTCTCTGTGTGAACTCCAGGTTGAGAAATGAGCCATAACTAAGAGATAAAACTTTTTGCTTGGCAAGCAAAAGTTTAATTCCCTGCTGTTTTTACTCCCATTCTGAAAACATCTAATACATGCCCCCCCAAAAAACAAATTCGCCCAGAAGTATCTGCAGAAGAGAATCAAAACAGGAAAGTTGGTGATTGGAGCACATGTACACATGTGTGACACAGAAACATGTGCAAATGTATTTTTTTTGTATTGGGATACCACAATTAGCTTGCTACCTGCTTTGAGTCCCCACCTCCTCATCCCTTGTAAATATTACCAAATCTACTCCTTTCAGTGAAATAATAATATTATACTCATTGCCTTCTGTAGCTCTCCAGAAGGTTGGGAGGCTGAGTTGCAACATCAAACTCCTCTGACTTTAAGGCTGTCACAGAACAGGAGTGGAGCAATTTTTGGTTGCTTAGAAACAAAAAATAAAGACCTGAATGAAAAAGTAATCTGTACAATAATCATTTTAAAATTTGCTAAGCTATCTGAGCAGAGAATCAAATAAACCTTAATTTGGAGAACTAATTAACACATTTGGTGACTATGCTCATGACAAAAATGTTATCTCATGTGAAATTGGCCCATCAGTTTAGAATTTCTTGGTCCTATTTACCAACCTCCTACCCTTCTTCTGTTACATTTCTTTAGGATAACACATAATATGTTAAGGAATTTCTGAGCCAGTAAATTATTTTCTGCCTCGGTACTCCTTATTGTAAGATTATTTAAAGTATTTATTTCAGTCATTTGTCAACAGCTTTCTTACCCCAAACTTTATTCTTTTATCTGCATTATTGGGCAATACAGTACCAATTTCAGGTTCAAAAAGCTCCATTTAAAAAAAATAACAGCTACTCTACTATGAAAGGCATATCAGTTTTGATTACTGCAATATAAATCATAATTCCCAAAGAAATTGCAGGTGTTTTTGCAATCCCACCAGAAAACCACAAAGAAAATAGAATGAAAGATAGATTTCTATTCTTCCTTAACTATCTCTCTTATCTTCAGAGTCACTTAGTCCATAATCATATAAACAAGTTGAGACCAGCTTGATAAATCCAGAGCTTTTGTTAGGCACTCAGGCAATATGTTTCCCAAGCTGAGTAGATCTTTACTTGAACAGGTTGGATGCCAGATATTTTAGAAAGCTTTTTGATTATTTACTTATAGGATTTAATTTCTTTGTTAAATACAGAATCAATGATATTGTTTCTCCAGCTTAGTTTTGAATCCATAATCATTATAAAGCATATATTAATTCATGTTCTTCTCCTGTTTTGTATTTATCATGTTAGTAACTGAAGTAGGGAATTGTTATGTCCTGAGAACTCTAGGAGTTCTCACTCAGGTCCACTCACTTTGTGTGGGCGTTCTTCCCCCTTTTCCTCATTGGTTGGTTCTCCCCAGCAGCCAGCTATAAAAGCAGGCTGCGGGGTCCAACCAGTTGCTGATTGCTGCGAGCCAGTTCCAGGCGTGGCTAGCACGGTCAGCCCTTTATTGTTATAATAAAGTATTGTTGCACTCATGCTCTGGTTCAGCCTCTCTTTTCCCAAACTTAACACTGGCGACGAGGATGGGATGGCTACCAGAAGCACCATGCAACCGCTGAGTCACTAGCCGCCGATCCGCAGCCCAGAGAGAGCGATCGGCCGGCGATAAGAGAAACGCTGATCCGCAGCCAGAGAGAGCAGTCAGCAAACAAAAAGAGCAAACAAAAAGAGCAAACGCTGATCCGCTGACAGAGAAAGCGGCCAGCAAGCGATAAGAAGCAAACGCTGATCCGCAGCCAGAGAGAGCGGTCAGAATCGAAAGTTAGAAGCGTCTGTAGCCGCTTGTTAGCCCAGCTACAGGGAAAGTGAAGCGCTGCGAGCCGCAGCCGCTCAGTATCAGGCGCGAAATTCAAACGGTTGTCATTTGAATTTCAAACCTAAAAGGTACAGCACAGCGCTGTAGCCAGTCACTGACGCCCACACAGGCGCGAATCCAAACGCCATCAACGGCTAACAGCCAAACGTGGTTAACCCAGAGAGAAAGAGAGGATTGCAAACAGCCTCTCCTGAGCTGAAATCACTTGCCCACCACGGGCACTAAAACATTGTCTGCTGCCCCAGAGAGATTTTTTCCACAGGTTGTTCAACCGGTCCCAGCACCATGAGTTCCAATCCAGTCTTCCCGGCGTTCAAACCAGACGAGGAGAAGTGGGAATCGTATAAGAACCGCTTTAATCATTATATCGATGCAGTTGGCCTGGCGGACGCAGGAGAGCATCGGAAAAAATCGTATTTCCTAATCTACTGTGGAGCCACCGTCTACGATACTGCCACGGCACTCGTGGCTCCTCGTGAGTTGAAAAACGTTCCGTGGTCTGAGTTACTTGAAATTCTCACTAACCACTATTCCCCCAGGCCCTCACAGATTGCCAGGAGATTCACCTTCCGTATGAGGAAGCAATCGAGCAAGGAGACCATCAATCAATATATGGCCGCTCTCAGAACAGCAGCACTGCATTGTGGGTTTGGAACCTACCTGGAGGACATGCTCCTCGATCAAGTAGTCTGCGGGGTCAAGGACCTCCACCTGCAAAGGCGCCTTCTCGCCAAAAAAGACCTCAACCTCGCACAAGCAGTCGAGGAGGCCTTGGCAGCTGAGCTGGCAACAAACGCAGCCACCGAAATCCAGGGTCCAAGTGCCAAGCTGACATCACTTCCAGTCCACTCCGAGGAGGTGGTAGCAGAGGA